TATTAATTCGTGTTTTAGAAATGGTGTCGTATCGAATTCATGTCGTGTATGAACTATGTATAACCACTATATAAACGAGTCGTGTCGTATATTTTTTTTTATTGACATTTCCTATACCCGATTCATTTATTAATTATGTCGTGTCGAATCCAGTCATTTACAAAACAAGTGATTTAAGAAAAACTCAAAATCTCTAATTTTAGGGTTTATTAACAGGTCTTGTTATATTTTGACACTCAAACATAGCTGTCTTATTTATATGTCAAGTTGTAAAGTGATTTAATATGAATTTTCCAAACGTTACGAAACAATTGTTAAGTATCCTCGATGGGGAGAAAATATTCATTACAATGGTGATGCCACATGATAATATTGACTTGATATCACCAATTAATAATATTAAAATAAATAAGCAAACGAACCCCACTAAAATTAACGACTAATCTTCCATATAAGCAAATAACTACTCACTCTTATTTCATGCTAGCAAATAACTATTTAAGTGAAATTCACCTTGCCTATTTTGTATTTTATTATTGGTTGGTAATATTATATCTATAATACTGGAAAAGATGCCTCCTATTTACCACTTTGTCCCTAACCTTAAGTTACGTAAAATTTGGTAACAAATTCTGAAATGTATAATTTTTTCTTCTTTTTATATGCAATGATGGACTACTATTATGTGTCTCATTTATCATTACAATACTGAAGTTTGAATGCTATGTAAATTCGGAAGAAAAATGCAAGGGCGGCTTGTGATATTTTGAGGATTAAGGCGATAACTAAAAAAATTGCTTAGTTAATGTGATGAAGTTGATTTAGGATATCGGGAATAATTTTAAGCCTCTGGGTCTTGTTCTAATAGATATTAGGACTCTTTCTCGTGATTTTAGAGATTTCATGGTGTCTACTATAAGGTGTTCTTTAATAAGGTAGCACATAATTTAGCTATAAAGGCAGACTTCTATGAGATGTTGTATGTATGGGAGGAGCTGGTACCAAATTTCTTAGTGCTCCTCCTCCTCTCAAATATTTCCAATTGATCAAATTTCTGCCGTTCCATTCAAAGAAAAAGTACTAATTAAGTTTTTAAATTTAAGAGTTGTTTCTGCAGAAAAAAAATTTTCAAAATTAAAATTGATAAATTTATATCTAAGATCAAATGTCACAAAAGATTACACATAAGGAATGAGTGGTTGAGGGAACAAATATTGAAAAGTGTGAAGAAAGATATAAAATAAGTACTCTTGAGTTCATCTTTATTTTTTACTGTTACATTTTGTTTTATTTTTTTTTAATTTTTTGGTGTTTCAGACTAAAGAAATAGGCCTAAACCATCCAATTTTACTTAGACATTAACTTTTTTTTGGGCTTAAGTTTTTATAAAGTTGGATTTTTAATTTGGACTTGTGGTTACAATTATAAATTTTAGGGTGTAGCCAAAAAAATAGAAAATAGGACTGATACACAATATGAGACTTATTAACAAAAAGGTACACATTTTAAAAACGTTTGTTAAGAAGTTCATCCACTATAGCTAAAGTCCAAAATAATCCATTTTAAAGTTGAAGAGTTTCCTTCCCTGACTAAGGAAATCAGCGTAAAGATAGCCAAGAGACAGCAAATGCTTTGTCTTTTCTACCATTGGCGCTGTTGTTTGCATGATTTGAGGATATAATTTTACGATTCAAGTGGTGTTCACATTTTTTACCCCAAACTCCATTCTTTTGTCATAGCCACACTACAAAGAATGGTGTCAAATAAATCCATTATTTTTTAGACTTTCACTGTGAAGAACTCATATCGTTGGAATCACTAGGAAGAAAACGAAGGTTTCACTGTGAAGAAAACAAGGGTTTCATCTCATTGAAAGAACACACACAACCATTTATCTTTTTCAACATTTATTTTTCATCATGTCTATAACTAACCAATTGTTAATAATGATAAAAAAAAATTGTATCCAAGCAGTGTAACATTATCACTATTGCTAGTGTTAATGTTACTGCAATAGTTATAATGTCTCACTGAAATAGTAATAATATCACACTGTCTAGTCATAATGTCACACTATATAGTGATAATGTCTAATTATATTATAGAATGATATGTGAAGTCCATAAAAAAAAATAGGGAACTAAATCACAAGTGAAAATGTCCCAAAAAAAAAAAAATGAATCTCACAATTCAATGCGTAAAAAAATTGTCTATGATTAATGAAAAAGGGCAATTATATAAATGAAATATTTTTAAAAAAAATAGTCAATATGTATCTACTCACAACACATTCCTAAAAAAAAGACTTATACACGAGAAATCCTATGATATTTTTTCATAAATAAGTAGCATATATTGTACTTATCCACCATTTTTCTCTAAAAAAAGAAGGCTAAAACCAGGCTTTAATGATCTTTCATTAGCGCCGGCCTTGGAAAAATAGAACAAAATCCCAAAGAAAAAGAGAGAAAATAGTAAGATATAACGTTCAAAAAGAGTGACACACAAAGATGATTAACTAAATTAGAGGTGATAGAATCATAGTGTGCTCATCTGACCGCATGACATTTTCGTGGTAGATGAAAAATACTCAAAATTAGGTCAATTTCAACCTTCAAACTCATGTAGGCTTTCAAAATTGAGGTCCTATTTAGATGGTAATTCCTCTCCTTTCGTGGAGTGATAGGAGAAAAAACTCATATAGACTTCGGACACAAAAAAAAAAAAAAATACGAAAAAGAGTATATATAAAACCCAAAGAGATCGACACGAAAGATTCATTGTTGTGCAAAAATTAATCATTTGACGTCTTGATTAGGAGAAGCAAGGACAACTAAACAGATTAGACGTGATGAACTGTCCATAGTGCCACGTGCCATTTTCGTGTCACGTGAGCAATTTTTTGTACCGACAAATGTTCTATCAAAATTGAGTCAATTTCAGGTTTTCAAACTCATCGTAGACTTTTGATAAAAAAAAAAAACAAACCTCATTGTAGACTTTTACTACTGAGGTCGTATTCGTGTTCAGAACGTAAAGTTCTCTTTTGTGGAGTGATAAGGTCGGTAGTTTCGACTTTCCCTCCCCTGTATTATTGCAATAAAATAAACCGACAAAAAAAGTCAAAAGAAAAAAACTAATGCAGATTGGAATACCCATGGTCACCCCTGGTGGCCGTGGACTGGGCTGGGCTGCATTGGTAGGATAAAATTTGGTCCGAACAAACAATAGGTAATCACAGGTTTTATATGGGCCTAGGCCCTGCCCATGGTCATTTTTGGTCGCCATGGGCTGAGCTGCAATAGTAGGATAAATTTAAGGGTCCGTTTGATAACGATTTAGTTTTCAATTTTTTTGTTTTTGTCTTCAAATTTTTTTGAAAACTTGAAATTTAAACTCATTTTTGTTTTCAAATTTTTTTGAAAACTTGAAATTTAAACTCATTTGGTAACTATTTTAATTTTTTTTTTTATTGAAACCGTTTTCAAAGTTGCCTCAAAATTTGAAAACGAAAAAAAAAAAAAGTCGTTTCCAAAAACAACAAAAAGGGAAACGGGCGGAAGACATTTAACGAGATCCTACCATCAAGTCTTGTTAGCAACAGACTAATACCTCTACCAAAAAATCAGCCAACAAAACTATTTAAACCCCTAAACAAAGTTCATAGCATCGTCCAGCGGCTTCGTTCACAGCAGCAGCAGCATCGTCCAGCGGCTTCGTTCACAGCAGCAACTTTGTCCAGCAGAGGAGTTCCAGTAGCAGTTTCGTCCACCAGAGTCCTCAGATCTAGGGTTTTCAGAAATTTTTTCCCTGTTTTTTGGATATCTCTCGATTTATCTCAGTAGCTAAATTCCTTAGATCTAGGTTGTTTCTTTGTGCTAGATTTATGTATTAGATCTGTAGGTTGTTTTTTTGTGGTAGATCTGATTTTTTTTTAAAAATTTTTTGAGCTTAAATAGAAGTTCCAGGTTTTCGACTTCTTTGGTTAGATCTAGTTCACCATTATTCTTAAACTCCATTCTTGTTGGATCTTGAGCACCGCAAGCTTTTGATAACTTGGCTTCCAAATGGATGATTTCTTCCTCTTTCACATTTAATTTACATCCCCATTCTGCCTCACAATCCAGTAGAGCTTTGCTATTGAGATCCCGCTGGAATGCAGAATTTGGAATAGATGCTTCACATGAATTTTTGAACATCTGAGACAACCAAACAGGTTTTCTATTTTCCTTTTTTATAAAAAAAAATGAAAACCGTTTTAGATTTTAACTTCTTAAAAAATTGAAAACCAAAAACTTTTCCAAACGCAACCTAAGAAATTTGAACGTCAGTCTCCTTTGTGTGGACTTATTTTGTGATAAGTCCATAAAGGAAATTTGTTTAATATTAAATTTATTTTGATCTCTATTATCTAGAATATCCCTCATAGTTATATTTAGTTAACATAAATTTGAAAACAAACATCTCTTAAATTTTAGGAGCAGGATTATTTATTTCTCTCTCTAATATATATATACTAGCCCTAATTCGTGTTTGAAGACATGATAAAATATAAAATTTGACCGTCAAAAAAATTGATCTCACTATATTAATTTTTTTAAAAATATATTAACTACAAATTAATTAAATATTAAATAATTAAATATATAGTAGAAATAAGTGATATGATATTTTTAGGGAGGAAATATATAAATGATTAAATATGTGATAAAAATAAGTGATGTGATTTGACGTTTGAGTATGACAAAAGGATGATGAGTGAGATAAGTGAATGGTGATAATTTTGAGGGAAAAAATATGACTGAAATAAAATTCAAACACACTCCTGTTTTTTTTTATTATTATTATTATATATATATATAATAACATTCAAATATAAAAAAAAAAGATTAACTTATAAGCCAACAAAAAAAAAAGATAGTCTCGTTATTATAAGCCAACAATAAATAAAAAACCCACCAAAACATGATTAAACAACCTTATTAACTCCTAAACCCGATTAACTTATAAGCCAACAAAAAAAAAATAACCTCATTATTATAAGCGAACAACCAAAAAAAAAATCACAAGAACATGATTAAACAACTTCATTAACTCTCAAATTCAATTAACTTATAAGCCAACAAAAAATAAAAAACAGTCTCATTATTAAAAGGAATAGCCTCATTATAATTTCCAAAGACCACAAAACATGAATTACCTGGCGTCTCAGGACTCAACCCAAACCCGATCAACTTAGGACTCCAAATATCCCATAGACTTACCTGACTTTTGGCGTTCACTGGTTTGAAGAAGCAGTCACTTTGACGAAGAAGAGGTCGACTGAGTTGAGGAAGAAGAATGCGGGAGAAGCAATCAGTCCGACTAAGAGAAAGTGGGGGAAAAAGAAGGGATTTCAAGGCTGGAAATGACATTGTTTTTAGTATGGACTGTAAAAAAATTACAAAAGGCACCTCAAACGGTGCCCTTCCACTTGACTGTTTTTCATGCGGTTTGATGAAAACTGTAGAGGAGCCGGACCCGGCTTTATATGGGCCTAGGCCCTGCCCACAGATAATTTGGTGACGAAGGAAAACGAAGCTCATTACCTGTCGTTCTTTAGGTTCCCGACTCATGATTAACCGGAGGCACTACCATTGATCCACAGAGACTGCAGAGCATAGGACTTGGTCTCTCTCTCTCGCTCTCTCTCTCACACACATACACTGTACTAATCACTTGAAATACAAGTATATGTATGCTTATCTATACCCATCGTCTTCTATTTTCCCTCTCTCTCTGCATCTTTTGCTTTGGCTGTTTGTTTGTAATGGGTGAGTTTTAGCCGTTAGCTTTTCTTGATTGTCATTAGATACTGAAAGGTCGATCATGTACATGTCTTTATTTTCCTTTTCCATGGTTGAGCTTGTTATAAACTCCTATAGAACTTTTTTTTTTTGGTTATTGACCCCAAAAAAAAACTCTTATAGCTCTTTTTACTGGAAGAACTGATAAAACGAATAGCTTGTTTGCAGTTGGGTTTATGTAAAATTTGCAGCAACCCCTATATTCCATGAATATATTTGTGTCTAGGTGCATTTGTTCAGTAAATTGGGTAATGGGAGATTCGTTCGTTTCCCATGTGGTAACTGTTTGATAAAATGCTTCACTGATGGACTAAGTGATATTGCAACTTTCTGTGAAGGAATTTTTGATCTTGNATGAAAAAAAGTCGTTTCCAAAAACAACAAAAAGGGAAACGGGCGGAAGACATTTAACGNTCCGTTCGTTTCCCATGTGGTAACTGTTTGATAAAATGCTTCACTGATGGACTAAGTGATATTACAACTTTCTGTGAAGGAATTTTTGATCTTGGCAATTATGGGGCATATTTATTGGAATTCTCTTAACCTGCTGTTTTTGTNTTCGTTCGTTTCCCATGTGGTAACTGTTTGATAAAATGCTTCACTGATGGACTAAGTGATATTGCAACTTTCTGTGAAGGAATTTTTGATCTTGGCAATTATGGGGCATATTTATTGGAANCGAGATCCTACCATCAAGTCTTGTTAGCAACAGACTAATACCTCTACCAAAAAATCAGCCAACAAAACTATTTAAACCCCTAAACAAAGTTCATAGCATCGTCCAGCGGCTTCGTTCACAGCAGCAGCAGCATCGTCCAGTGGCTTCGTTCACAGCAGCAACTTTGTCCAGCAGAGGAGTTCCAGTAGCAGTTTCGTCCACCAGAGTCCTCAGATCTAGGGTTTTCAGAAATNAATTCTCTTAACCTGCTGTTTTTGTTTGTCAATTATTATCCCGCAATTTATCTGTTATCATGTTGTTGACAAGATTGTTTGGGAGGACACTCTTTACCGCAGCCAAATCATAAACTTCTGCTGCTATTGATGTGTTACCCGCCGGAATAACGAGAACCAACAACGAAAAGAACTCAAGATCGTTTAACNAATTTTTCCCTGTTTTTTGGATATCTCTCGATTTATCTCAGTAGCTAAATTCCTTAGATCTAGGTTGTTTCTTTGTGCTAGATTTATGTATTAGATCTGTAGGTTGTTTTTTTGTGGTAGATCTGATTTTTTTTTAAAAATTTTTTGAGNATTTTTTCCCTGTTTTTTGGATATCTCTCGATTTATCTCAGTAGCTAAATTCCTTAAATCTAGGTTGTTTTTTTGTGGTAGATCTGATTTTTTTTTAAAAATTTTTTGAGCTTAAATAGAAGTTCCAGGTTTTCGACTTCTTTGGTTAGATCTAGTTCACCATTATTCTTAAACTCCATTCTTGTTGGATCTTGAGCACCGCAAGCTTTTGATAACTTGGCTTCCAAATGGATGATTTCTTCCTCTTTCACATTTAATTTACATCCCCATTCTGCCTCACAATCCAGTAGAGCTTTGCTATTGAGATCCCGCTGGAATGCAGAATTTGGAATAGATGCTTCACATGAATTTTTGAACATCTGAGACAACCAAACAGGTTTTCTATTTTCCTTTTTTATAAAAAAAAATGAAAACCGTTTTAGATTTTAACTTCTTAAAAAATTGAAAACCAAAAACTTTTCCAAACGCAACCTAAGAAATTTGAACGTCAGTCTCCTTTGTGTGGACTTATTTTGTGATAAGTCCATAAAGGAAATTTGTTTAATATTAAATTTATTTTGATCTCTATTATCTAGAATATCCCTCATAGTTATATTTAGTTAACATAAATTTGAAAACAAACATCTCTTAAATTTTAGGAGCAGGATTATTTATTTCTCTCTCTAATATATATATACTAGCCCTAATTCGTGTTTGAAGACATGATAAAATATAAAATTTGACCGTCAAAAAAATTGATCTCACTATATTAATTTTTTTAAAAATATATTAACTACAAATTAATTAAATATTAAATAATTAAATATATAGTAGAAATAAGTGATATGATATTTTTAGGGAGGAAATATATAAATGATTAAATATGTGATAAAAATGAGTGATGTGATTTGACGTTTGAGTATGACAAAAGGATGATGAGTGAGATAAGTGATTGGTGATAATTTTGAGGGAAAAAATATGACTGAAATAAAATTCAAACACACTCCTGTTTTTTTTTATTATTATTATTATATATATATATAATAACATTCAAATATAAAAAAAAAAGATTAACTTATAAGCCAACAAAAAAAAAAGATAGTCTCGTTATTATAAGCCAACAATAAATAAAAAACCCACCAAAACATGATTAAACAACCTTATTAACTCCTAAACCCGATTAACTTATAAGCCAACAAAAAAAAAATAACCTCATTATTATAAGCGAACAACCAAAAAAAAAATCACAAGAACATGATTAAACAACTTCATTAACTCTCAAATTCAATTAACTTATAAGCCAACAAAAAATAAAAAACAGTCTCATTATTAAAAGGAATAGCCTCATTATAATTTCCAAAGACCACAAAACATGAATTACCTGGCGTCTCAGGACTCAACCCAAACCCGATCAACTTAGGACTCCAAATATCCCATAGACTTACCTGACTTTTGGCGTTCACTGGTTTGAAGAAGCAGTCACTTTGACGAAGAAGAGGTCGACTGAGTTGAGGAAGAAGAATGCGGGAGAAGCAATCAGTCCGACTAAGAGAAAGTGGGGGAAAAAGAAGGGATTTCAAGGCTGGAAATGACATTGTTTTTAGTATGGACTGTAAAAAAATTACAAAAGGCACCTCAAACGGTGCCCTTCCACTTGACTGTTTTTCATGCGGTTTGATGAAAACTGTAGAGGAGCCGGACCCGGCTTTATATGGGCCTAGGCCCTGCCCACAGATAATTTGGTGACGAAGGAAAACGAAGCTCATTACCTGTCGTTCTTTAGGTTCCCGACTCATGATTAACCGGAGGCACTACCATTGATCCACAGAGACTGCAGAGCATAGGACTTGGTCTCTCTCTCTCGCTCTCTCTCTCACACACATACACTGTACTAATCACTTGAAATACAAGTATATGTATGCTTATCTATACCCATCGTCTTCTATTTTCCCTCTCTCTCTGCATCTTTTGCTTTGGCTGTTTGTTTGTAATGGGTGAGTTTTAGCCGTTAGCTTTTCTTGATTGTCATTAGATACTGAAAGGTCGATCCTGTACATGTCTTTATTTTCCTTTTCCATGGTTGAGCTTGTTATAAACTCCTATAGAACTTTTTTTTTTTGGTTATTGACCCCAAAAAAAAACTCTTATAGCTCTTTTTACTGGAAGAACTGATAAAACGAATAGCTTGTTTGCAGTTGGGTTTATGTAAAATTTGCAGCAACCCCTATATTCCATGAATATATTTGTGTCTAGGTGCATTTGTTCAGTAAATTGGGTAATGGGAGATCCGTTCGTTTCCCATGTGGTAACTGTTTGATAAAATGCTTCACTGATGGACTAAGTGATATTACAACTTTCTGTGAAGGAATTTTTGATCTTGGCAATTATGGGGCATATTTATTGGAATTCTCTTAACCTGCTGTTTTTGTTTGTCAATTATTATCCCGCAATTTATCTGTTATCATGTTGTTGACAAGATTGTTTGGGAGGACACTCTTTACCGCAGCCAAATCATAAACTTCTGCTGCTATTGATGTGTTACCCGCCGGAATAACGAGAACCAACAACGAAAAGAACTCAAGATCGTTTAACGAACAGATTTTATGGTAGACCTTGACCCGTTGTTTACAACAAACAAGAACCTTGGTATATAGACCTCAACCCACTGTTTGTGAAACAAGAACCTTAGTATAAAGGAAGACGCCACAAACGGTGTGGAAACCCGTTTGATAAGTCGTTGGTGAATGCCACGGAGAATTCCGATAAGTTCGTTTAGTTCTTCAAAGAACCAAAGAGAAAACACTCTCAAAATTTGCTGAATAATGATCTAAATTTTCATTGATCTGAATGCTTATTTATAGGCTGGTCATTACAAAGATTAGGAATCTTCCTAAAATAGCTATCTTACTTAGGAAATATCTCTTACTTGTGGGTAAAGAAATATCTCTTACTTTCCTAAGACTCTTGAAGAAAAAAGGAAAGACATTCAGCCCTTTAAATGGCTGAGCACATGCCTAAATAGAAAAAGGAAAGTACTTGGCATACAAGCCTTACAATTAGACCCTAAAAATAAAGAATAGTGCACGTACTGTAGCATGAACAGTGCACGCTACAGTAACTTTGAAAACCCTACTTCATAAGAAATAAAACATGTGGGCTAAGCATCCTCAAGCCCACTTATTAATAATTCTAATCCTTTAGACAAATTGGAGGCCTTAACAACAATAAACCAATTGAATCTTAGCCTTAGCCCCTAGCTGGATTCTTCTAGAACTTGAATCATGTTGATGAATCTTTGTTGCCCAAGTGGATCATGGTCAATGGGCCTCCACAAACTTGCTTGATTCCATGCCTCTTGAATTAGTCCATTGAGTACCTCTTTAAACTTCCTTGCTCGTGCTCTCGTAACCGGCCCACTTGGAACTTGAACTAAATCCCTTGAAGTTGTGTTATGATTTGCATCATTCCCCTCCTCTTGAAAAGGATTTGCCCTCAAATCATCACCTACATCAAAAGGACTCAAATCAGTAACATTAAAAGTAGCACTTACATTGTACTCACCAGGTAAATCTAGCTTGTAGGCGTTGTCATTGATGCGCTCCAGGACTTGGAAAGGACCATCTCCCCTTGGAAGCAATTTGGAACGTCTTTGCGCCGGAAATCTCTCTTTTCTCATATGCAGCCAAACCCAATCTCCGGGTTCAAAAATCAGCTTGTGACGTCCCTTGTTGGCTTGTTTTGCGTATTGCTCCGTTCTTCGCTCAATGTTGAGTCTTGCTTTCTCATGAATCTGCTTGACAAAGTCAGCTTTCTTCTTGCCATCTAAATTAATATGCTCAGTCAAAGGTAAAGGAGATAAATCCAATGGGGTTAAAGGATTAAATCCATACACAATTTCAAATGGTGAAAATTTAGTAGCAGAATGAATGGATCGGTTATAAGCAAACTCAACATGTGGTAAACATTCTTCCCATGTTTTGATGTTCTTTTTAATGATTGCCCTCAATAAAGTAGACAAGGTCCTATTTACTACTTCAGTTTGACCATCAGTTTGTGGATGACAAGTAGTAGAAAACAATAGCTTAGTACCTAGCTTACACCACAAAGTCTTCCAAAAATAGCTCAGGAACTTAGCATCTCGATCTGAAACAATTGTTCTAGGCATGCCATGTAATCTCACAATCTCTCTAAAGAACAAGTCAGCAACATGCGAAGCATCATCCGTTTTGTGACATGGAATGAAGTGTGCCATCTTAGAGAATCTATCCACAACCACAAAAATTGAATCTCTCCCACGCTTAGTCCTAGGCAATCCTAACACAAAGTCCATTGAAATATCAATCCATGGCTCACTAGGAATTGGTAAAGGAGTATACAAACCATTGGGCTGCACTCTGGATTTAGCTTGCCTACATGTGATACATCTACCACAAATTCTCTCAACATCTCTTTTCATGTGAGGCCAATAGAAGTGTTCTTGCAATACAGCTAAAGTCTTTGCAACCCCAAAATGTCCCATTAATCCCCCACCATGAGATTCCTGCATTAACAACTCCCTCAAGGAACAATTAGGCACGCATAACTTATTCTCTCGAAATAGGAATCCATCAAGCCTAAAGAACTTACCACTACCGGTTTTCTCACAAGCCCGGTATTCCTCACAAAATTCGTGATCATCAACGTATAAATTTTTAATGTGCTCAAAACCAAGGAATTTTGCATCAAGTGTAGAGAGTAATGCATACCTGCGAGAAAGTGCATCGGCAACCACATTCTCCTTACCTTGCTTATACCGGATGACGTATGGGGAACGTTTCAATGTACTCCACCCATAGTGCATGCCTTTTATTTAGCTTGTGCTGGCCCTTCAAGTGTTTCAAGGACTCATGATCGGTGTGAATCACGAATTCCTTAGGCCATAGGTAATGTTGTCAAATCTCTAAAGCTCGAACCAATGCATACAACTCCTTATCGTAAGTTGAGTACTTTAAGGCTNCATTCTGCCTCACAATCCAGTAGAGCTTTGCTATTGAGATCCCGCTGGAATGCAGAATTTGGAATAGATGCTTCACATGAATTTTTGAACATCTGAGACAACCAAACAGGTTTTCTATTTTCCTTTTTTATAAAAAAAAATGAAAACCGTTTTAGATTTTAACTTCTTAAAAAATTGAAAACCAAAAACTTTTCCAAACGCAACCTAAGAAATTTGAACGTCAGTCTCCTTTGTGTGGNTGATTAATGAAAAAGGGCAATTATATAAATGAAATATTTTTAAAAAAAATAGTCAATATGTATCTACTCACAACACATTCCTAAAAAAAAGACTTATACACGAGAAATCCTATGATATTTTTTCATAAATAAGTAGCATATATTGTACTTATCCACCATTTTTCTCTAAAAAAAGAAGGCTAAAACCAGGCTTTAATGATCTTTCATTAGCGCCGGCCTTGGAAAAATAGAACAAAATCCCAAAGAAAAAGAGAGAAAATAGTAAGATATAACGTTCAAAAAGAGTGACACACAAAGATGATTAACTAAATTAGAGGTGATAGAATCATAGTGTGCTCATCTGACCGCATGACATTTTCGTGGTAGATGAAAAATACTCAAAATTAGGTCAATTTCAACCTTCAAACTCATGTAGGCTTTCAAAATTGAGGTCCTATTTAGATGGTAATTCCTCTCCTTTCGTGGAGTGATAGGAGAAAAAACTCATATAGACTTCGGACACAAAAAAAAAAAAAAATACGAAAAAGAGTATATATAAAACCCAAAGAGATCGACACGAAAGATTCATTGTTGTGCAAAAATTAATCATTTGACGTCTTGATTAGGAGAAGCAAGGACAACTAAACAGATTAGACGTGATGAACTGTCCATAGTGCCACGTGCCATTTTCGTGTCACGTGAGCAATTTTTTGTACCGACAAATGTTCTATCAAAATTGAGTCAATTTCAGGTTTTCAAACTCATCGTAGACTTTTGATAAAAAAAAAAAACAAACCTCATTGTAGACTTTTACTACTGAGGTCGTATTCGTGTTCAGAACGTAAAGTTCTCTTTTGTGGAGTGATAAGGTCGGTAGTTTCGACTTTCCCTCCCCTGTATTATTGCAATAAAATAAACCGACAAAAAAAGTCAAAAGAAAAAAACTAATGCAGATTGGAATACCCATGGTCACCCCTGGTGGCCGTGGACTGGGCTGGGCTGCATTGGTAGGATAAAATTTGGTCCGAACAAACAATAGGTAATCACAGGTTTTATATGGGCCTAGGCCCTGCCCATGGTCATTTTTGGTCGCCATGGGCTGAGCTGCAATAGTAGGATAAATTTAAGGGTCCGTTTGATAACGATTTAGTTTTCAATTTTTTTGTTTTTGTTTTCAAATTTTTTTGAAAACTTGAAATTTAAACTCATTTTTGTTTTCAAATTTTTTTGAAAACTTGAAATTTAAACTCATTTGGTAACTATTTTAATTTTTTTTTTTATTGAAACCGTTTTCAAAGTTGCCTCAAAATTTGAAAACGAAAAAAAAAAAAAGTCGTTTCCAAAAACAACAAAAAGGGAAACGGGCGGAAGACATTTAACGAGATCCTACCATCAAGTCTTGTTAGCAACAGACTAATACCTCTACCAAAAAATCAGCCAACAAAACTATTTAAACCCCTAAACAAAGTTCATAGCATCGTCCAGCGGCTTCGTTCACAGCAGCAGCAGCATCGTCCAGCGGCTTCGTTCACAGCAGCAACTTTGTCCAGCAGAGGAGTTCCAGTAGCAGTTTCGTCCACCAGAGTCCTCAGATCTAGGGTTTTCAGAAAATTTTTCCCTGTTTTTTGGATATCTCTCGATTTATCTCAGTAGCTAAATTCCTTAGATCTAGGTTGTTTCTTTGTGCTAGATTTATGTATTAGATCTGTAGGTTGTTTTTTTGTGGTAGATCTGATTTTTTTTTAAAAATTTTTTGAGCTTAAATAGAAGTTCCAGGTTTTCGACTTCTTTGGTTAGATCTAGTTCACCATTATTCTTAAACTCCATTCTTGTTGGATCTTGAGCACCGCAAGCTTTTGATAACTTGGCTTCCAAATGGATGATTTCTTCCTCTTTCACATTTAATTTACATCTCCATTCTGCCTCACAATCCAGTAGAGCTTTGCTATTGAGATCCCGCTGGAATGCAGAATTTGGAATAGATGCTTCACATGAATTTTTGAACATCTGAGACAACCAAACAGGTTTTCTATTTTCCTTTTTTATAAAAAAAAATGAAAACCGTTTTAGATTTTAACTTCTTAAAAAATTGAAAACCAAAAACTTTTCCAAACGCAACCTAAGAAATTTGAACGTCAGTCTCCTTTGTGTGGTGGACTTATTTTGTGATAAGTCCATAAAGAAAATTTGTTTAATATTAAATTTATTTTGATCTCTATTATCTAGAATATCCCTCATAGTTATATTTAGTTAACATAAATTTGAAAACAAACATCTCTTAAATTTTAGGAGCAGGATTATTTATTTCTCTCTCTAATATATATATACTAGCCCTAATTCGTGTTTGAAGACATGATAAAATATAAAATTTGACCGTCAAAAAAATTGATCTCACTATATTAATTTTTTTAAAAATATATTAACTACAAATTAATTAAATATTAAATAATTAAATATATAGTAGAAATAAGTGATATGATATTTTTAGGGAGGAAATATATAAATGATTAAATATGTGATAAAAATGAGTGATGTGATTTGACGTTTGAGTATGACAAAAGGATGATGAGTGAGATAAGTGATTGGTGATAATTTTGAGGGAAAAAATATGACTGAAATAAAATTCAAACACACTCCTGTTTTTTTTTATTATTATTATTATATATATATATAATAACATTCAAATATAAAAAAAAAAGATTAACTTATAAGCCAACAAAAAAAAAAGATAGTCTCGTTATTATAAGCCAACAATAAATAAAAAACCCACCAAAACATGATTAAACAACCTTATTAACTCCTAAACCCGATTAACTTATAAGCCAACAAAAAAAAAATAACCTCATTATTATAAGCGAACAACCAAAAAAAAAATCACAAGAACATGATTAAACAACTTCATTAACTCTCAAATTCAATTAACTTATAAGCCAACAAAAAATAAAAAACAGTCTCATTATTAAAAGGAATAGCCTCATTATAATTTCCAAAGACCACAAAACATGAATTACCTGGCGTCTCAGGACTCAACCCAAACCCGATCAACTTAGGACTCCAAATATCCCATAGACTTACCTGACTTTTGGCGTTCACTGGTTTGAAGAAGCAGTCACTTTGACGAAGAAGAGGTCGACTGAGTTGAGGAAGAAGAATGCGGGAGAAGCAATCAGTCCGACTAAGAGAAAGTGGGGGAAAAAGAAGGGATTTCAAGGCTGGAAATGACATTGTTTTTAGTATGGACTGTAAAAAAATTACAAAAGGCACCTCAAACGGTGCCCTTCCACTTGACTGTTTTTCATGCGGTTTGATGAAAACTGTAGAGGAGCCGGACCCGGCTTTATATGGGCCTAGGCCCTGCCCACAGATAATTTGGTGACGAAGGAAAACGAAGCTCATTACCTGTCGTTCTTTAGGTTCCCGACTCATGATTAACCGGAGGCACTACCATTGATCCACAGAGACTGCAGAGCATAGGACTTGGTCTCTCTCTCTCGCTCTCTCTCTCACACACATACACTGTACTAATCACTTGAAATACAAGTATATGTATGCTTATCTATACCCATCGTCTTCTATTTTCCCTCTCTCTCTGCATCTTTTGCTTTGGCTGTTTGTTTGTAATGGGTGAGTTTTAGCCGTTAGCTTTTCTTGATTGTCATTAGATACTGAAAGGTCGATCATGTACATGTCTTTATTTTCCTTTTCCATGGTTGAGCTTGTTATAAACTCCTATAGAACTTTTTTTTTTTGGTTATTGACCCCAAAAAAAAACTCTTATAGCTCTTTTTACTGGAAGAACTGATAAAACGAATAGCTTGTTTGCAGTTGGGTTTATGTAAAATTTGCAGCAACCCCTATATTCCATGAATATATTTGTGTCTAGGTGCATTTGTTCAGTAAATTGGGTAATGGGAGATCCGTTCGTTTCCCATGTGGTAACTGTTTGATAAAATGCTTCACTGATGGACTAAGTGATATTACAACTTTCTGTGAAGGAATTTTTGATCTTGGCAATTATGGGGCATATTTATTGGAATTCTCTTAACCTGCTGTTTTTGTTTGTCAATTATTATCCCGCAATTTATCTGTTATCATGTTGTTGACAAGATTGTTTGGGAGGACACTCTTTACCGCAGCCAAATCATAAACTTCTGCTGCTATTGATGTGTTACCCGCCGGAATAACGAGAACCAACAACGAAAAGAACTCAAGATCGTTTAACGAACAGATTTTATGGTAGACCTTGACCCGTTGTTTACAACAAACAAGAACCTTGGTATATAGACCTCAACCCACTGTTTGTGAAACAAGAACCTTAGTATAAAGGAAGACGCCACAAACGGTGTGGAAACCCGTTTGATAAGTCGTTGGTGAACGCCACGGAGAATTCCGATAAGTTCGTTTAGTTCTTCAAAGAACCAAAGAGAAAACACTCTCAAAATTTGCTGAATAATGATCTAAATTTTCATTGATCTGAATGCCTATTTATAGGCTGGTCATTACAAGGATTAGGAATCTTCCTAAAATAGCTATCCTACTTAGGAAATATCTCTTACTTGTGGGTAAAGAAATATCTCTTACTTTCCTAAGACTCTTGAAGAAAAAAAGAAAGACATTCAGCCCTTTAAATGGCTGATCACATGCCTAAATAGAAAAAGGAAAGTACTTGGCATACAAGCCTTACAATTAGACCCTAAAAATAAAGAATAGTGCACGTACTGTAGCATGAACAGTGCACGCTACAGTAACTTTGAAAACCCTACTTCATAAGAAATAAAACATGTGGGCTAAGCATCCTCAAGCCCACTTATTAATAATTCTAATCCTTTAGACAAATTGGAGGCCTTAACAACAATAAACCAATTGAATCTTAGCCTTAGCCCCTAGCTGGATTCTTCTAGAACTTGAATCATGTTGATGAATCTTTGTTGCCCAAGTGGATCATGGTCAATGGGCCTCCACAAACTTGCTTGATTCCATGCCTCTTGAATTAGTCCATTGAGTACCTCTTTAAACTTCCTTGCTCGTGCTCTCGTAACCGGCCCACTTGGAACTTGAACTAAATCCCTTGAAGTTGTGTTATGATTTGCATCATTCCCCTCCTCTTGAAAAGGATTTGCCCTCAAATCATCACCTACATCAAAAGGACTCAAATCAGTAACATTAAAAGTAGCACTTACATTGTACTCACCAGGTAAATCTAGCTTGTAGGCGTTGTCATTGATGCGCTCTAGGACTTGGAAAGGACCATCTCCCCTTGGAAGCAATTTGGAACGTCTTTGCGCCAGAAATCTCTCTTTTCTCATATGCAGCCAAACCCAATCTCCGGGTTCAAAAATCAGCTTGTGACGTCCCTTGTTGGCTTGTTTTGCGTATTGCTCTGTTCTTCGCTCAATGTTGAGTCTTGCTTTCTCATGAATCTGCTTGACAAAGTCAGCTTTCTTCTTGCCATCTAAATTAATATGCTCAGTCAAAGGTAAAGGAGATAAATCCAATGGGGTTAAAGGATTAAATCCATACACAATTTCAAATGGTGAAAATTTAGTAGCAGAATGAATGGATCGGTTATAAGCAAACTCAACATGTGGTAAACATTCTTCCCATGTTTTGATGTTCTTTTTAATGATTGCCCTCAATAAAGTAGACAAGGTCCTATTTACTACTGTAGTTTGACCATCAGTTTGGGGATGACAAGTAGTAGAAAACAATAGCTTAGTACCTAGCTTACACCACAAAGTCTTCCAAAAATAGCTCAGGAACTTAGCATCTCGATCTGAAACAATTGTTCTAGGCATGCCATGTAATCTCACAATCTCTCTAAAGAACAAGCCAGCAACATGCGAAGCATCATCCGTTTTGTGACATGGAATGAAGTGTGCCATCTTAGAGAATCTATCCACAACCACAAAAATTGAATCTCTCCCACGCTTAGTCCTAGGCAATCCTAACACAAAGTCCATTGAAATATCAATCCATGGCTCACTAGGAATTGGTAAAGGAGTATACAAACCATTGGGCTGCACTCTGGATTTAGCTTGCCTACATGTGATACATCTACCACAAATTCTCTCAACATCTCTTTTCATGTGAGGCCAATAGAAGTGTTCTTGCAATACAGCTAAAGTCTTTGCAACCCCAAAATGTCCCATTAATCCCCCACCATGAGATTCCTGCATTAACAACTCCCTCAAGGAACAATTAGGCACGCATAACTTATTCTCTCGAAATAGGAATCCATCAAGCCTAAAGAACTTACCACTACCGGTTTTCTCACAAGCCCGGTATTCCTCACAAAATTCGTGATCATCAACGTATAAATTTTTAATGTGCTCAAAACCAAGGAATTTTGCATCAAGTGTAGAGAGTAATGCATACCTGCGAGAAAGTGCATCGGCAACCACATTCTCCTTACCTTGCTTATACCGGATGACGTATGGGAACGTTTCAATGTACTCCACCCATCGTGCATGCCTTTTATTTAGCTTGTGCTGGCCCTTCAAGTGTTTCAAGGACTCATGATCGGTGTGAATCACGAATTCCTTAGGCCATAGGTAGTGTTGTCAAGTCTCTAAAGCTCGAACCAATGCATATAACTCCTTATCGTAAGTTGAGTACTTTAAGGCTGCCCCGCTTAGTTTCTCGCTGAAGTAAGCAATTGGTTGTCCTTCCTGCATAAGCACTGCTCCTATGCCAATACCTGAAGCATCACATTCAATCTCAAACGTTTTCAAAAAGCTAGGTAAAGACAATAAAGGGGCGTTAGTTAGCTTCTGTTTGATTAATTGAAATGCCTTTTCTTGTTCTTCACCCCATCTAAATCCAACGTTCTNGTGGACTTATTTTGTGATAAGTCCATAAAGAAAATTTGTTTAATATTAAATTTATTTTGATCTCTATTATCTAGAATATCCCTCATANGACTTATTTTGTGATAAGTCCATAAAGGAAATTTGTTTAATATTAAATTTATTTTGATCTCTATTATCTAGAATATCCCTCATAGTTATATTTAGTTAACATAAATTTGAAAACAAACATCTCTTAAATTTTAGGAGCAGGATTATTTATTTCTCTCTCTAATATATATATACTAGCCCTAATTCGTGTTTGAAGACATGATAAAATATAAAATTTGACCGTCAAAAAAATTGATCTCACTATATTAATTTTTTTAAAAATATATTAACTACAAATTAATTAAATATTAAATAATTAAATATATAGTAGAAATAAGTGATATGATATTTTTANACATGTATTACATGATTGTCCACGCTTTTGCTATAAATGAGTATATAATCAAAGTAGACAACAACAAATCTGCCTATAAATTCACGCAAAACATGATTCATAAGTCTCATAAAGGTGCTCGGAGCGTTAGTCAATCCAAAGNTATGACAAAAGGATGATGAGTGAGATAAGTGATTGGTGATAATTTTGAGGGAAAAAATATGACTGAAATAAAATTCAAACACACTCCTGNTAAGTGATGTGATTTGACGTTTGAGTATGACAAAAGGATGATGAGTGAGATAAGTGAATGGTGATAATTTTGAGGGAAAAAATATGACTGAAATAAAATTCAAACACACTCCTGTTTTTTTNAGTGTCTTTTTGTACAAAAGTACAATCATCAGCTGATTTGAAAACATGGCTCTCTTAATCTCACTCACTTTTGCATAGAAATTCTTTTGTTTCCTCTCTGATTTTTTTTCAATGGCCGCATTTTGATTTTCTTTTTCTCTCTCATTTTTCTCGGCCTCTCTCTGATTTTCACTCTTTTTCTTTGGTTCACTCTCTTTCTTTTTTTCACTCTCTTTCTTTTGATCACTCTCTTTTTGCAATCTAACTTGATCCTCATATACTTCCTGTGGTGTCAATGGTACAAGAGTGATTGATCGTTGATTAAGCACAAAGGAGTATTTGTTTGTAAAGCCATCATGCTTCACATGCCTATCAAACTACCATGGACGCCCTAGCAATAAGTGTCCAGCTTGCATTGGTACTACATCACACAACACTTCATCTTTGTACTTACCAATTCGAAATGCAACTAACACATGCTTGTTCACCCTTATCTCACCACTATCATTCAACC